TCATCATCACCGTTACATATATATATATATATATATATATATATATATATATATATATATATATATATGTGTGTGTATTGATTTATAAGAGTTATGAAGTAGCCTACCAGGTTAATATATTGGTTTAGGTTAAACGTCTCTGCCTTTCCATTCATTTAGTTATATATGACTGAGTAGATATTAGGTTTTTGATAATTTGGTATACTGGTTCAAAAAAATCTCGATCACTAATTTCAAACAGCAATTTCAAGATGTCGCCTCGTTGGAATTTTAATTTTGTGTGAATGTCGTGAGCCTGCTGGTTCTTCGTGTTTGAAGTCACGTTGTACATCTAATCGTCTCTGCATTATTTTCACAGCGATTATATAGATTTCAGACGACTCAGGAATCTAAATATACATTTTTTTGGGAATACAAACGAATTCCGTTTTCATTGTGTATTTCAGACGCCTCGATTTTTTTAAATATTTTTCTTTTGTTGTTTACTCGCAGATGCACACGAGTTCCGTGTTTCAGACGCCTCGAATATCTAAATATATATTTTTTATTAATATTTAGTCGCAGATGCACACGAGTCCCGTTTCTTTGTCGTGTATTTCAGACGCATCAAAAATCTAAATCTATTTTTTGTTGTTGTTTACCCGCAGATGCACACGAGTTCCGTTTTCTTTGTCGTGGCTTCCATCATGGCGGCCGCCGTGCTCGCCTCGGGTTCCCACTCGGAAATGCCACAACACCGCCAAGCGTCCCTAAATCCTTCTATTGAGAGGTCCTACATGCCGGAACCTCATCCTATGGCATCCTTCTACCAACACCAGAGGCTGCAACAATCCCCTGTGAAGACTTCTAGACTTTTCAGCGTATTTGAGACTCCCGGGCTTCTGAAGGTGAGCAATGGCGTCACGGGTTGGAAATGTTTGTGACGTCACAGGTCACGTGTTTTCAGAAGGGGTTCTTGTCTTTCCCTCGCATTTTGGCTTTAGTATTTGTTATTTATCGTATAAATGAAATAAGTGATGACAAACACACCTCATGCACAACTAAATACAGACATCGAAGACAAACACAAAACACATACACACGAACACACAGACAAAAAAAAAAACAAAAAAAAACATACTTTAGATTTGCACACTTACCCCTCTCATAAACACTACCTTAATAACTAGGCCTAATTCCCGCCTTTTCTCCCTCCTCCCCCACCTAACCTCACTCCAGGTCGGCAAGAAAGTAGGAGAGTTCCTGCTGGGGTCCTTAGTAGCCGTAGGACTCCTCATCCTAGCCGGGGTCCTCTTCAGCGCCTTCTCAGGAGCCAATTTCCTTCTCCCTCTCGGTCTAGGAGCCAGATCTCTTGAGGACTTTCAGTATGCTTATGAAATTGCTCAACAGGTGTACAGCGCGATAGAAAATTATGCTTTTTGATTTGATATTGTTTTGTAATAGTTTTTAGGAGTTTATTAATCTATTTATTTATTATTATTCGTTGTTTTTATGCTGTGAGGTCTTCTGTGTTTTCATTAGATATTTCTGTTTTTGTTTGTTTGTTTGTTTTTTGCATCTTTTGTATTTTTATATAGTGTAAGAATAATTTGTTCTATTTTCATTCAATGATTTTTTTTTCATATACTTTTTCTTTTTTATTTGATGTATCTATTACTATATAGTGTAAATAGTTTTTTTGTCACTTTAAACGATCATTAGATTTATTCATTCAATTCATATGGTTGTCTATTCATTTATTCTTTTGTATTTATCTTTATTTACCTATTTTTTCGCCCATTTACTTCTCTAACTTGATTTATCTCCTTTTTTTTTTCTTATATGGATGCGTTTATTAGTTTATTTACGAAATTTTTCTTTATCTATTTTTTCACGAATTCGCTTCCGACAAGAAGTGACAAGGAATGTTTAATAGAAGATATTTATATGATAAATTATTTGAAATAAAATAATTGATATGAAGAATGTACTTGATTGTGTTCCTTTCCAATTAGATCTAAAGATTGCATGATTCTCCCGGTGCACACACACACACACACACACACACACACACACACACACACACACACACACACACACACACACACACACACACACACACACACACATGTATATATATAGTTAATCTACAACTTTACAACTCTGAAAAAGCCAGGGAAAGAGAGCTAAGCATATATATACATATATGTGTGTACACACACACACACACACACACACACACACACACACACACACACACACACACACACACATATATATATATATATATATATATATATATATATATATATATATATATATATATATATATATATATATATATATTGTGTGTGTGTGTGTTTGTATATACATGCATATATATACATATATACACACATATATATATATATATATATATATATATATATATATATATATATATATATATTTACATATATATACATACATATATAACTTTGGGATCTGAACCTAGTCGGGCCGATGTTCAAGAGAAGCAAGGTTCATTGGAATCGGCCCAAGAGAAACCGACCGTTATTGGGACGTATATATATACATACATACATATTGGTACGACAAATTTAGCAATAAAATATCTCAAGAACGGAATTAGATAGAAAGATGGTTGGCTGCTTGTTCGAAAGCTTTTATAAAGGTGCGTAAAAAAGAAAGAAAGAAAGAAAGAAAAAATATATATATATGTGTGTGTGTGTGTGTGTGTGTGTGTGTGTGTGTATATCTCTCTCTTCTCTCTCTCTCTCTCTCTCTCTCTCTCCTCTCTCTCTCTCTCTCTCTCTCTCTCTCTCTATATATATATATATATATATATATATATATATATATATATATATATACATATATATACATGTGTGTGTTGTGTGTGTGTGTGATATATATGAGAGAGAGAGTGATTGGTGGGTAATGTATATGGAAATACAGGAAAAAGAGATCATGATGGTAACAATGGTTACGGAAAGGGTAATAAAAGATATAAATATAGTTAATTTTAAAAATAAATGCAGAGAAAGACCAATATATGTCTTTTGTTTTTACACTTTATTTCAATTTCTGTACAAAAACATCTATTCTATAGGCAGGTTCGCTTTGTATGTTCGTATGTGTTATCACTTACACGTTATCACTTATCATATATGATTTTATATCCTTATAATTAATCATTTAAAAAGACTTGATATTTGTGTATTTTTCTTTGTTGATTTCGACTCAAGAGACTAACAAGTGACTCACTTTAAAGTATTTTATTCCAAAATAATTAACCTCCTGTCAACTTTTTAAACAAATCAAACGAAGCCAAAAACAAACTAATTCGAACGCTCTCCGCCCTCAAAAAACACCCCGTCTCTCCTACTAAGCGGAGCAGTTTCACCAACCAACCAATGAGAACGTCCCAAATCTTCTCCCATCCGATTCTCGACCAATCAGAATCGAGCTCTCCCCGGCGTGAGTCAGAATCCGGCCTCCGCCCTTCTGCCTGGCCGGAGGAAGTGTTGATAAGAGGTGTCTGTTTCTCCCTTTTGTCAATTATTGGGAAAAACGGAGTAAATATGACGGGACGGCTGCCTCCTTGTATCGTGGATGTGGGCACCGGGTAAGAAGGATATTTGGGGGTAGTTTGGGTATAGATTTAAGGGCTTTTTAGGGTCTTTAAGCGTGAAAATAGTGGGTCGAGTGTTTGTTTATGTGTAGCTTCGTGTGAGGGATTTTAGTAATTTTAATTTTATTCTCATATTTCGTGGTTTTGTTCCTTAAAATAATGTTTTATTTGTGTATTTTAAGGACAGAGAGCATAGAGACGTATTGGTTTTTAATAAGCAGTTAAGGAGAAGAGTAAATAAGTAGATATTTGATACAAGTGATGACTAATCTTTTGATATGGAGTGCTGTCAGTTTCACCTGTGTGTATTTTAAATAATTATGCATCTTATGGTAGAATGTGTTATGCAATTGAAGTAATGTTGGTAATTGTTGAAGACCGCGACGCACCCTCACAGAGACTAAGTCAAAGTAATGTTTATTTTATATTATTTTGAATATTGAGCCAAGAGGAAATGGAAGTTACTCGATTAGGCCATCGGAGTTGATTGAAGAAAGGTAATTAGAGTAGAGGCTTTTAATGGATCGTAATGATTTTGGTATTGTTGGAGTCCTCTCACGCTCTTTTTGGTCAAATACATAGAAATTAGTTTGCAGAAGCCCTGTACCCCGCCCACTCTTGGCCCCAATAGCAGGGGAGGATATGAAAGGTACACTTACTCCAGACTTTAGAGTTTGGTCTGCATTCCCCGCACAAAAATTATTTGGTCAAATTCTGTCCGCGCAAATGTAGTTCTCGGGAACTTTCCATGCACGCTTAGTTTTTTTTTAAATCATCCGTGCATAAAATTCTTTTGACCTTTCCGTGCAATTGTTTCATCATTCGTCCACAGATCCGTCTGTGCAAATGTAGACAAGAGGATGTTTTCCACGGATGAAAAAATGTAATATTCCCCACGCAAGAAAAACATTCTGCAGTCTGGCACTTACTTATATAGACAGACCATGGTAATTTTTTCTAATATGTCCACATAACGGATAGGGGCGATTTCAGGATAGTTGGATTCCTGTCACCGTTTACGACACAAGTATGTAGGTTTTATTGTGCGGAAGCTCCAGCGACCCCCACATTCTTGGCCCAGATAGCAGGGGAGGGCAAGAAAGGTACCAGGGAAAATTGGGGTAAGATGTAAATTATATGGTCAGAATCAGTCACTATAATATTTAATGTATGGGGCTGTGTCCCCTGTAATCCCTGCCTAGGAAAATAAAGAATCCTCCACGTATTCACGGCAGGAGAGAACGTTACAGACTTGGCAGTGGCGCTCTTGCATGGCGTTCGTACACTCTCTCCTGCTGTGAATATATGGAGGATTCTTTCTTTTCCTAGGCGGGGGTTACAGGGTGGCCGTAGGGGGCACAGCCCCCTGCTTTAGACAATATAGTGACTGGTTCTGTGTATATAATTTACATGTTATCCTGCAATTTCCCTGGAAACTTTCATGCTCTCCCCTGCTATTTGGGCAAAGAATGTGGGGGTTTGGGGGGGTTTCCAGGCAATAATTTCTTTATATTTGGAAACTAGACAGTGAGAGGAATCCAATATTATCAAGATTATCATGATTTGTGATGTTGATGTATTAGAAAAATTACCTAGACCGTATACACTTATGTGCACATGCGCAAATTCCCAAATTTGAATATAGAGAACAGTTTTGCAGGACCATTTGCTTGTGTTTACTTTAGGTTTTCACAGGAAAGTATTAAACATTCAATTAAGTTCTTGCTTGGGACTTACTGACGGGATTTGAAAAACCTCCCCTTGCCTGCAATTTTTGGTGTATGGATGTGCTACACATTACATGAGGAGGGATCCCTCCCCTGGGAGAAGGACCAAAAAAAAAGAAAAAAGAAAAAAAAAAATTAATTCTGCTTTGATACCAGCATTAGTTGAGATTTATTTTAACCCATTTACGATGGGTGTCCCATATATGAGACACCCTGAAAAATAAACATTGCTAGGCGTCCCGCCACTGTGACGTTAGATTGGAGCTTGTGCTCCAAATAAGTTACGGGGCTTGCGCTCCGAATGCGTTGCGGGCCGCGGCTGGCATGCGGGCAGATTCCGGGCCAGCCACGCGCGCTGATTTGGTAGCCGCCTGGAAACTATTATTTTTGGCTTCAAAATATATCAGCATTAGTGGGTTAATACTGGAAGTATTTAGCCTAATGCCGGGATGATTTTTATCGAACTTGCGTCTTGTTTGATGGGTGTATGCACAAAAAAAGTGTATACTGTCTGTCTAGAATCTCAAGTTGAAAGGTACCAAGGAAACTGCAGGTTAAAGTATAAATGGTATACAAAGAATCAGGCACTATATTGTCCAATGCAGGGTGCTGGAACTCCTGGAGACCCCAACATAGGGTGTTGCTGTCCCCGCACCCCTAAGAAAACAAAGAATACTCCAAGTATTCATGGCAGGAAAGAGGGTTGGACAGACAGCCTCCAGTATTAGACAATATACTAATTGATTCTGTATAAATCATATTTATTTTACCCACACAATTTTCCCTGTACCTATTTCCCTGGTACCGTTTGTGCCTTCCCCTGCTATTGGGGCCAAGATATTTGCTAATGGGGGTTAGATTCCTTGCAATAATTTCTCTATATTTAGAAAAAAGTGAGTGAGAGGAACCCATCAATGACAAAATCATTACAAGCTACTATTCTGATAATTTATAGAATAATAGTATGGGATTATTGGTATGTGTTAACAATAAGTAATTTGTCCAGTGCATAATGGTAAAGGGTATTGAAATCAGTGGATGGCCTTTCGAATTACAGAAAAAATGGTTAGATATCAGTCACACTAGTCAGTCTAAATAATAACTGATATTTCCATCGTAGTCAGTGGAATACAATTTTTGGGGGATGAGAAGTACCCAATGTTCAGATCTGGTTAGGTGGTCAGAAGAGAACTGCACAAAAAAATTGAAATAAGTTAGTCCTCAACATCAGGATGCTTTTTTTTTTTTTTTTTTAACAGTGACTAGGTAACTGCTTGAAGGGAATATTGATGGGGGTAGGAAATATTGTTTTTTACCTCTGTATTCACGGCAAGATGGAGCTGAAACTTGGTAGCACCATGTGGACTTTTTGCTTTGCACAAATTTTTCCTTTATTTGTGGTGTTACCATTTAAGTCTACTGATTATTTCTTGCAGACTGCAACATTTTGTCCTCTGCAAGAATATCATCTTAAGTTTGCCCTAGCTTAATGCATTCATACTATAAAGATTAGCCAAATGGTATGTCTTTCATCATAAGTGCTGGAAAGTGGAGTTTCCACATCATCAGGATGATTGGCTTGGAGAGATCACTGATACAGGAAGGCTGCTAAAGAAAACTTCTGATTTCTGTTTTCCTCTTTTAGGATATTAGACCAGCAACTTATTCTGGGTTCTTTGCAAAGTCTGAGATCATTTACTTGAGGAATGCTTTTTTATAGGGTTATAGAATACATAAAGCTATTAAGATAGATATAACTTGTAATTTATAGAAAATAAGGTTATGGTAATAGCTCGACATCAAAACCCACAAAGTCCAATTATGGAGTGGCTTCAGCAGTTTGCACCCTGTAAAAGAAGCCCCACATCAAAGTTTTTACAAGAAAGAGCTTTATGAGATGCCTGGAAATTTGTCAAATAAGGAACCTATTCAAGTTCTTTTATTGAATAAATGTATTGGTGGTTTTTTGGCATCTGTCAGAAGTCGAAGCTCGGAAACCAAAGTGTCAGTTCATGCAGGTTGGTCGAGTTCCTTCATGTGCACCACCGAAAATTTCTGATCTTTAGATGTGCATTGACCAGTTTTTTCTTGGTGTACTTCAGTGTTTTGCAATTTCTATTTCAGTTTTGTGAAGATGCCTTGTATACCCTTTCTCCCTCTGAAACGGTTCTATTAGGAGTTCAAGAGACTTAGTCAAAATGATGTATAATATTGCTTTAAAATAGTAGGCTGTTTTATTTCTATGTTTGGATAATCAGGCATTGAGTAAGTTCATCTCATAGGTTGTAACATCACTAATTTAGAGAAAAGTGATGAGGATTTGAAGTATGCAAGAACTTCTCTGAATAGAGTTTTAATTTCCCTTGGATAAATATGGATTAAGTATAATGATTTGGTGGGAAGAGAGATTATGACTTTATTCTCATTCATTATCTTAGTTAAACGGTGTCTGTTTAAAAAAAAAGCTGTGACTTTTTGGGTTCATATGAAATTTAAGGATAAAATATTCATGGAGTGCATATACCAAACTCTATAACCTTTTTTTTTTTTCTTTCTTTCTTTTTTTAAGGTTTAATGGTATTTAGAAAATATATTTCATGGTAAGAAATGGTCATCATATAGTTATGATATTGTATTGAACAACTCATTTATTCTATATGAAATTTATCGTTTCCTTTATTCTACATATATCTTTCTCTCTCCCTTCTCTCTGCCATGTAGCTACACCAAGCTGGGCTTTGCGGGGAACCATGAGCCACAGATGATCATCCCATCGGCCGTGGCCATAAAGGAAACGGCCAAAGTAGGCGAGCAGTCCCAGCGGCGTCTGTGCAAGGGTGTGGAAGACCTCGATTTCTTCATTGGAGATGAGGCCATGGATGCGACTGGATATGCTGTCAAGGTGAGAACTGCGAGAAAGGAGGGTGACTTTGCAGTGAAAGCTTTTGTCACGAGATATCTTGTGTGGTTATCACTAGTATTTTTTGTGTTTCTTTTTTTTTCTGGTAATTATTATGTAAAGATATACTAAATGATACAAAGAGGTGAGTTAGATAGATGTTATGTACAGAAGAAAGCCAAATGTAAAAAAAAAAAATCTGTAAATTAACCACACACAAAATCAAAACCTCAAAAAGTCAGTCTGTTAGATCCCTTAATCATCTGTCAGCATCAATGAGTCAAGGGTTGAAATGTATCTATCTAAATCTACCCAATCCCTGATCATTTATCTATCAGAAATATAAGCATCTGAAGTTACTAATTATCTATATCAGATGTGGAACACCCGTCGTTAGTGGGTTAATGAACGAAAGAATTCATGTCTTGTATTTTTGCCATCTCACCATCAATGCGTTAACTTCCTATCTCAGTTGGTCTGAATCTATCCGAGAAGTTTCTAATTATCTATCTCAATCAGTCAAAGTTCAAATTCTAATCCCCCACTAATGGTGTCCTGTGTGCACCGCCCTTCAGTACCCAGTGAGACACGGCATTGTGGAGGACTGGGACCTGATGGAGAAGTTCATGGAGCAGTGCATCTTCAAGTACCTTCGTGCCGAGCCGGAAGACCACTACTTCCTCCTTACTGAACCCCCTCTCAACACACCAGAGAATAGGGAATACACAGCAGGTGTGTCTTGTATATCCATCTATCTGTATATATTTTTTATTTATTTATTATTATTTTTATTTAATTTTAGATTTATTTATCTGCATCTTTATTAGGATTTGAGTAAGCGAAAGGGGAAGAGAGTGTAGGAGAGAGTAGTTGGGCAAAGGGAGATAGGGGAGAGCCATAGAGGGCAAGGGCTAAGGTCAAAGGGTAAAGGGGGATGGAAGTGGTTTTAGATTTTGTGTGGGTTGGGGAGGGGGGTGTTGTTTACAGAACGTTTAGTATTAGTGTTTTTTAGGGGGAAATTTTATGTAGTATTATGTTGTATGGGAAAATGATTGCATTGCTAAAGTAATTGAAATTTTTATAAGGGGGATTGCTTAAAACTGTGATCTTGATGTTATTATATTTTTGAGATTCTATTATTAGATTTTCATTTGAATATGTAGTTTTTACTTTTTTTTTAGCTTAGAAGGTGCTGCAGAGTGAACACAAAAAAAAGAAAAAGAATGAAGATAGAAAAAAAATCTTAAAATCCAATGTATTGCCATCCAAACAGAAATTATGTTCGAGTCGTTCAATGTGCCTGGCCTCTACATCGCCGTCCAGGCCGTGCTCTCCTTAGCAGCCTCCTGGGCCTCACGGCAGGCCACTGAGAGGTCCCTCACTGGCACCGTCATTGACTCTGGTGATGGTGTCACTCACGTCATACCAGTGGTGGGTGCAGGTTCTGGTTATTCTAAGATTCTTGTTATACCGTAGTAATAGTGATCACATTGTTATTTTTATAGCTCTTTTGATTATGATTCTTATTCGAGCATTCTTATTATTGTGATAGTTATTGGTAAGGTTGTTTCTGCTATGGTAGTGATCTTGATAAATTACGATAATTTTCATGAACAGTTATTAGTTTGTGTATTTATTTGTTAGATAAATAACATTCCTCAAAGGAATTTCTAACCCCTCACCCCCTCTCGTACACTTTACTCAGGCTGACGGCTACGTGATTGGGAGCTGCATCAAGCACATCCCCATTGCTGGCCGTGACATCACCTACTTCGTGCAGAGCCTGCTGAGAGAGCGCGAGCCCAACATTCCACCCCAGCTCAGCATGGAAACAGCAAAGGCAGTCAAGGGTAAGGGAATTTGTCTTTTGTCTTTTCCTTCTTTTTTTCCTTGTGCTCTATTTTCCTATACCATGCTCCCCTCATTATTCTGTGGATTTTTCTTTTTAGCCTCTTGATTTTAAGGAAATGCTTTGAGATGATAATTATAGAGGAAGATGAAATGAATTAGATAAAGAAAAAAAAAATTAATGTTCCTGTAATGCATTTGCTCTAATCTGAGGAGCTGCTCCTTAAAAGAATGATGATCATTTATTAATTTTGAATCAGATTCTGTAAAAATGAAAGGGGTTGGTATTGTTTAGTAGTGCTTAGAAATATCTTTAAAAAAAGGTTGAACCACAAGCCAGAATATCGATCAGAAATTAGATGAAACGAACACTATACATGTACCTCTCGACTGTAAAACAACTGTAATTAAACCTTCAGTGACAGGTACAGCTTTAGCCATCATGACATAATGGCCTATGACAGATATGTATCAATGACTCGCAATGTGTGGACCAGTTTAGACTGCTGTGTAATATTGCATCACAAAAAAATTCAAGCCCCTTCATGATAGGGTTAATTCAGTTCTGCCGCAACAGCTCTGATCCAAAGGTGCACATGTATGCTACCCAATACTTGCCCTTTTGTGGTCAGTATTGTAGCTTTGTGCTTGTATTACATCATCACTCTTAGCAATAATACTGTTATTACTAATAATACTAGTACAGATACTTTTGAATTTGCTCCTTGCTTTCTTACTTATGAGTTAGCACCTTGTTCTTTTAACTATATTACTGGAGCCTCAGCAACTTCTAAAAACTTGTTCCATTGACAATATCTCTCATGTCTCTCTCTTTACTCACAGAAAAGTTCAGCTACATCTGCCCAGACATTGCTAAGGAATTCAACAAGTATGACAGCGACCAGGCCAAGTGGATCAAGCGCTATGAGGGCAAGAATCCCGTCAACAATCAGACCTTTGGGATTGACGTGGGCTATGAGCGTTTCCTTGGACCTGAGATTTTCTTCCACCCCGAGGTGCGTCAGTGAGGAAGGAGGGAGTTTTTTGTGTGTTTGTGTGTATGTGAGGTGATTTTGATATTTTATATGTGATGTAGAAATTGTGCTGTTGCATGATCTCATATTAAATTTCTGATCTTCGATATTAATTTAGTTTCTCTGTATATTCTCTGTATCAGCCAACTAAATATGTAGGATGAGCACTATTATGCAGTATATTTTTTCACTCCCATCATAAAAAGAAGAGGTAAATAACTCAATATCATTTATTATTATCATTTATTATCATCATCATCTGTTATGATCATCATCATTATCATTTTTCTTAGTGAACTCTGTTTTGATTCTCAGTTTGCAAACCCTGACTTCACAACTCCGATCAGCGAAGTAGTAGACAATGTCATTCAGAATTGCCCCATTGATGTGCGACGGCCACTGTACAAGAATATCGTCCTCTCGGGAGGTTCCACTATGTTCAAGGACTTTGATCGTCGTCTGCAGAGGGATGTAAAGCGCATTGTGGATGCGAGACTGCGTATCACTGAACAGCTGAGTGGTGGTCGCATTAAGGTGGGTAGAGCTTCAGGGTCATTAATTTACTATTTTACCCTCCCTTTTTTCTCATCTCTCAAAGGTCGACTTTATTGTTAATCGTAATATTTGGTGACCTGGTATTTGAAAGGAAAAGGAAAAATTTTCAAGCCCCTAACAAATTGTGATTCCTCTCCAGCCAAAGCCGATCGATGTGAATGTCATTGCACATAAGATGCAGCGTTATGCTGTCTGGTTTGGAGGTTCCATGCTTGCTTCAACAGTGAGTACTATTTGTTATTTTTACTTTGTTGACTCTCATTGCACTTGAAATTTTAAGATTATATTTATAGTTATTTTTCTCTGTGCTAAGGTTCTTAATTGCTTGTAATGGAGGGGTTGTCAGCATCTTTTTCTTGCAGTCATAATTTTTAGGCTTGTTATGAATCAGTCCCTGGTAAATGGGAAATTATGTAGCCATGTATGTAGATAAAGCAAATCATCTTCCATGACTCCCTAGAAGTCCCACAACATCGACAGATGCTCAGACTTTTTATATAGGTGAATATGTAGATTTTAAAACATGGGTCTTCAACTCTTTTTTCCCTCCTGCACAGCCTGACTTCTACCAAGTCTGTCACACGAAGGCAGAGTATGAAGAGAAGGGACCCAGCATCTGCCGACACAATCCAGTCTTTGGTGCTATGGCTTAATTTTAAGGAGTGTAGTCACTATGCAAAAAAAAAGGGGGGGAGGGGGGTCAGAAGGAATAAAGGCACAAAATAAGTCAAGTTAATAGATATACCAGTGACATGGAAATTGAGTCATACTGTTTTAGCTTTTTTGTTTTTCTTTTTCTTTATAATTAGGGGGAGTAATTGTAAAGTGAGATATTTATACTAGGAATATAAGGACATAATAAGAGGGGATGACAAAAACAGAAAAATGAGATACGAATGGCACTAAGAAAGCGGTGTGTATTTCTTCCATGTAAAAATTTAACTTATTTAGATTTTGAATTTTGTTTTTTTCTCTCACTCTTTGCCCAAAGAGGTTGTCTGAAATTTCTTTGTTGATTGTGGCTGATGGGTTATATGATATGATTGTGTGGTGATTTTTAAAAGTTTCCAATGAAAATGTGTGTTGTTTTTGCTTATACCCACAAAGCACATGGTAACCACAGGTAGGAGAATAAAAGGCTGCGTCATAGTGCTTTTATTGGTGGTTCAGGAAGGCTGCATCTTACGGACTTTCTGAGAAATGTTATCTTTCCGCAATGTTTGTTATTGCATAGCATTGTATCGTATGAGAGTGTAATAGTATATATTTTATTTGATTACTGTTGATTTTTTTGTTCTCTTCTCTTTTTTTTTTTGTATTTAATATATCTGTTGATTAGGACAAGTACTTTTAAAGCTTTAAAAGATATTACTTAACTTTTAAAGGAGAAGAAATAATTTTTGTGTGTGACACTAGCCCAGTAAAAATATTAATGTTCGTAGAATTAGAAACTTTTATATGATTTCATAAGAAATAGAGGGAAAAAAGTGCAACTTGACATCTATACTTTGTACTGGAGATTTTTTTGTTTTGTATTGATAAATAATTTTCAGTAAATGGTTCCTAGGAAAAAGCCAGAATTGCAACCAGGATTAATTATAGGAGCAGAAAGAAATCTGAATGTGTGAATGATTAAAAGATGCTGAAAACCGAGCTTGTTGGTTTGTTTTCCTTTTTATTTTTTTTGCGATTGTCAAAAGATGTATTTTTTAAATGCAAATTTCTTATTTATTTGTATTTTTTCTGGTGTGATTTGTCAAGATTTATTGTAAATCTTGGAGTAATTTTTAAAAAATATTTGGGCTGTTGATATTATTAGAGAATATATTGACATTATGAATGTCAATATCATTATTATATGTCATTTTTTATAAGTTATTGTGATATTAATTCTTTTCATTATTATAATTATTATAATTACTCATTATCTTAAATGAGATATAGACAGTATTTTTGTTTTTTTTGCTTATATATTTTTGTTGGAAGAATATTAATTTATATAAGCTCTGAAAATCTTGTATTGGAGTAGATCACATTTTCACAGTTCTCTCTGTTGCAATTCTTCAGTTTTTTTCCCCATCCTATGAACATTAAAAAAAGTATGAAAGGACCATAATTTCATTCATCTAATTCAACACAGCTTTTCTCTTTGAATAATAGTAATAGTTGTCATCATCTTCATATGATACAGATTTGTCATGGATAAAAGTGCCAATATTATGCAACTTCACAACTTCCTTTCTAATGTGAATTTAACGTACCTTTTACAAAGGCTTAAATATATTCCGAATGGCATTCCAAAGTTTTCATTCTACACTAGTAATTTAGCCTCTATTACATATATAGGAAATTAATAGTTTTACTTTTTAGCCAGTATTAATGCATCATTTGTATAAGAGAGAATAATGATATAAATAAGACTAATAATAATAACAGTAATAATAATAATAAAGTTTAAAATGATTATGCAAAATTGTAATTGATACTACTAGAACAATACTGACAGTAAAACAATTATTTAATTAAAACGGTTAACGAGTCAAAAGTACAAGGTTAAAAATGCTGAATCGAAAGCCATCTGCACCAAACTAGATGGTATTGTTGTGAAAATTTGTATTTTTGTGGAAATCGTGTTGAAATACAGCTCTCTCATCCTTGTCTGTATTATGATTGTGTTCCTGTTACAGGGTGTTTTAGTTTGTCATTTTGAAGTGAACTAAAATAAATAAATAAAAGTGTCCAATTATTGAAAGTCCAATAGAAATAATATTGGCAATCTGTAAATATAGAAAATAAAGAAAAAGAAGTAACTAATGAAGACTTATAAGGCTTTATATTTGATTAGCAAGTTTTATATTGGCCAGAGTTTACAAATGTGAAAATGTAGCAATTAGTATGATGTCATTGTTATAGACATTCCAAATATCATTTTGAAATGAATGATTTGTATGGACAAAAGTTTCATTATACTTTTCTGATTGTGTACACAACTTTTTTTTTCTTCTTCGGTAAATTAAGCTTATGAGTAATGTTAATAATCTTATTTTTTCACCTTTATTGACAGGATCCACTTGTATTCATAACCGAGAGACAGGATTTTTTTTTTTTTTTTTTTTTACATTAAGGGAAACATTAATGGTGTGGGTGGGGATGTGTATTTCTTTCTTTTTTGTTTCTTTGTAGGTCATATTTTCTGAATATTCAGGCTTAAAAATAAAACCAGTCTGATTAACAATCTTCAATGTGAGTATTCACAACCCGTTTTATTTAAGCCAAACTGGAGCTTCACACAATAAATCTAAAGACAAATTTGGATAATGAGAGTACATACATACGTGCATACATACAAATGAAAAGATAACGCTCCTGTGGCATGTGGAATAAGGACAGAAATTAGTAAGAAGGACAAACTTTTTTTTATATAGCGAGATGCATTTTTGAGAGGTTGATGAACATAGGCTGAATAACATCTCATATTATTGCCACCAAACTGTCAACCTGTTATGTCATCAACTAACGTGTAAAGTACATCTTCACTTTAATATATTATATAGGATATGACTAGGCTAATAATAAAAAATACTGAGGAATAGGGTGTTCCTTGGCCATTATTTGCTTAAAGCATTCAAACAGTTTATTAAATTTTCTTCTTTTTTTTCTTTTCTTTTTCTTTTTTCTTTAATCCAAATTTTGTTCCATCAGCTTCTGGCCTTTTCACAAAAAATAGTATAAAGTCAAGAGGTGACAAAATTATACATTTTACTTTTTTCTTGTTAAACCAACATTAAGTAACATTACCGTAAATGAATATTTGCTCTAAAAAATACAATCAATGTTTCAATCACACATGATTATCTTGCTCATTCAACAAACTATTCACTTGCTGCTCAAACTGTGTATAAAACATACATAAGGCGTGTCCACATGAATGGGTATAACTGGCGGGCACGAGCAGGGATGATGTCACAGTCGGTCAATATTAAAACATGTGCGAGACATCAGAGGTCATATAGCCTTATAGGAAAGTATAGTAATGAAAAGGGGTAAAAATTAATTATCAAAACAAATGTGTAAGACGTCAAAGGTTGTACAGCACTACATGATAGTATGGTGCCAAAATGGATAAAGAGGGGGAGAAAATGGGGTAAGGCAGAGATTACTAATGGAAGGCATAGGGGTTAAGGGCGATTAGACGAAATGGAGGATATCTATGTGTCTGAGGAAGAAGAGCAAGTCATCAAAAGATAACATGCAGGATTCCATATAGATGTCCAACAGACTGGGGGGGTCAGGACCTCGGGCTCTCAACTAGGGAGGAGCAAAAGAGGCCTAGGGTAAGAGAATATGAATTTGAAGCAAAAAGAGCGATCAGAGAGAAAAGGCTTTGTAAACCCCCTTGTCCACAGGCAGTCAAAGTACTTTCTATACAACAGGTTTCCCCACTGTCTTCTCGCTCATGACATTATCCCACTGCTGAGCCAACCAATCATGCCCGCTCCTGTTGTAGACTTGCCAAAAGTGATGAAAAATGGGTAGCCATGATTATGATTATTAACATATGAATAATAATAATGATGCATTGCATAGGAGATCAACTATATTGATGACTCATTATATGTGATATGAATAACAGGAGTAATTATTTGTATAGAACATCAATATTAAAAATAATTAATCAAATAATGGAATGGAATGCATGAGCTAAAGGTAAAATGAGATTATATATGCAGGAGGTAAGGAATGCCACTGAACTATGCATAAAATGAAAGCACTGCAATCAGTTACCTGTGTATCTGTGAATCACTCATTTAAAAAAAAAAATGTGGAGAAATATGTGTACAGATGACCATATAATTCTTGGGACCATTTGTAAAAATAAAAATAAAATAAAAATACAAAACCTCATCACATTGAGCTCAGACTGTTGTCATGGGCGTGATCAATTCGTGACTCCATATTGTGACATCTGGATAGCTTCTGAGGCTACTCTCGAGAGTGAGAGCCTGAACCAAGTCCTCATTAGACGCCACTTCCTCTGCCCGGTGCCTCATGATGGTCTGCGGCTCGGGGAACCACACAGGCGATGCGCTGCTCCAAATCTGCTGCAGGGTGTGTATTTCATGGCGATGCACACTCATCCTCGTCTCAATGATGCAGGATGTTACGTGACCAATGGAGGAGAATTTTGTACTGGGCTCAGGGACGTCTAGAGGAGGTACTGTTATGGGGATTTCCGAGGTGCTGTTTCTCCCCAAAGAGCTGGTAGTGTTGGAAGTAACATTGTCCTCAGCGGGGAGATCTGCCAGGTGGAGGATTCCTCGGGTTTGGGGTTCTGGGAATGTGAGGTGTGAGGAGGTAAGGACTATGGTGACGGGGTTTGTCGTCATATCACCTGCTCTGAATTCCTGAGTGGCACAGCCTCGACAAGGGACCTCATGTCCTGCATGGAAAAGTTCACTCGTGCCAGTACTAATTTCCTGAGTTCTAAATGCAGTGAGATCTTCAAAGGAACTATAGGGACTCGAGACATCACGAAGTCCAAGCCGATCCAGACTGCTGTCTCTTTCAGCCAACTTCACGTAATGCTCTCTGCCCTTATCCAGCCTCTCCTCGCGATAAGGGAACCACCTGGATTTTGGATAATCCATGCCCTTTACCTGAGGCACAAGAGGAGATGAACCTTCAAGTGCCCTGTGAATTAAGCCATGGGTTTGGGTGACCGAGCTGAAGGGGTATTCCCTGAGGATGGGGGTCGAGGGGGCAATGAGTGAGACTGCATCATGTAGCCGTGGCCTGCTTGCGCTGGTCACACCTGGAAGAGAAA